GTAGAATTTTTCATTGTGAACAACTTTATTTAATATAAAAAGATCGATTTACTTAATAAAAACTTAGCAAAAATAATGTTTCATTGTACCGCCATTACTTTCGCCGGGGACTGTACACAAAAAAAATAAATTACACGCGATTTTGTCACAATTTTATGTTGTTGATGATTTGTCTAAATTTAGTAAAATTCAATCAATATAAATAATTCAACATGGATTTGATAATCCAATCAAATAAAATTTCTTTCATCAAAATATATCACAACTAAACTATACAATTAATAACAAATACCCAAAAGCAAATATATTTTAATAAACATGATTTTCGAACACGGTAGCATTGTCTTGGCAAAACTTAAGGGATTCCCATGGTGGCCAGCAAAAGTAAAGAGAGAAGAATAATATTTACATTAGAAAAAGAATTTAATAATAATGTACTAGTGTAGCAAAGATTAAAAAATTTAACTCGACACGTCTATTATATCTATTATACATGTTTATATTTACGTCTTAAATAGATTGAAAAGGAGAATAAAATCCCTGAGCATATCTTAAAGAAAAAACCAAAACATCAAAATACCATTCCTGTTAAATTCTTTGGAACCAATGATTAGTATGTGTTTTCTACGTTGTGCATTTATATCTTATACACACATATATCAATATATATAATAAATAGTAGCTAATGATTTATCATTTTATAATAGTGGATTTGTTAATAAGAAAGATATCAAACAATTTGATATGAATAAAGCAAAGGATATGATTAAGAAAAAAACCAATAAAAAACTAGTTGAATCGTTACAAAAAGTCTTGAAAATTTCATCTCTTGATAAAAAAATAAATAAAAAAAAGGAAAAATCTGTAACAAACGATAATGAAAATGATATCAATGTTGATTCTGATCCTGCTATGGAATTAGAAGGAGAACAATCTAGATCTGGCGATGATGCAAATCAAGATAAAAAAATGGATATTGATGATGATGATGATGGTGATGATGATAATGATGATGATAATAATAGAGAAGCCAATAACGAAGGCTCTGATAAAGTGGACAATGATGATGATAATGATGATAATAATGATAATGGTGATGATAATGATGATGGTGGTGATGGTGATGATGGTGGCGATAAAGATGCCACTAAAAATCATAAACAAGCAGTTAATGATAATAAAGAAGTGGCTAATGATGATCAAAATGCCAGCGATGAAGTAAATATTAACAATAGTAATGATAACGATGAAGGCGGCGATGAAAATGTTGAAAAACCAAGAACTGGTTATGGTGTTAGATCAATCAAGAAGGAATCTGATGTTAATGCTGATAATAGTAGTTCTGACAAGAAACCAATAATTCGTGCTCGCAGAACATACAAAAGATCTGTCAATAACAAGGATCAGTCAGTGAATGATGATAAAAATACCAGCAATAATAAAAGTCCTGGTAAAATAGGTAATGATGATGATGATAAAAATGCAGTGACTGATAATCATAAACAAGAGGTTGATGGTGATAAAGAAATGGTTAATAGTGATCAACAAGATGATAAACAAGAAGTTAATGGTGATCAAAATGTTAGTAATGAAGTAAAAATTAACAACAGTAGCAACAACAATGTTAATGTTAATGATGAAAATGACAAAAAACCAGGAACTCATCGTACTTTTAGAACAACCAACAAGAGGTCTAGTAAAAATGATGAAACTATCACTGCTATTAATGATAATAAGGAAAGGGAAGGGGAAGGAAAGCAAGATGGCATTGACAAAAAACCAGCAGCTCGCGTTTCCAGAATTAACAAAAGGTCTTATGACAATCATGAAGATTCTTCTAAAACTACAAGAGAAAAGAAGAAACGAAAGGATAATGCTGGTGGTGTTGTTGTTCTTTTCACAAATAATGACACTAGCTCTACAAAAAATGCTGCCGATAATACTGATGGTATTACAGATGCCTTTGACCCCACTACTAATACAATTAATGGTGAAGAAGAAATAGATAAAATGAACATAGATGAAAGCAATAAGGTATGGTGAATTTTGATGTATTTTATATTGTATATTTAAATACTGTAAATATAAATGAATATATTAAACTTTCATTAATGATGGATACTTCGATTAGGGCGAAGAAAAAAAAGAAATTACCACTAGCAATGGCGAAAGTTCAATTGAAATAAACAATGAAGATATGGAAGCTATTGAAATCAATAAAAGCAACCTTGATGGTATGTTAAATTCCTTCTTTGGAAAAAAAATACCTAACACATTTAATTAATAATTGTGTCATTTATTGTAGAAAATAATGTTGAAAAGTTGCTTGATTTAAGACGACAAATTCAAAAGCATGCTCTCAATAAAGATGATATTAATGTATGATGTACTTTTCTATTTATTTATTTATTTATTTTTATTTGCTTTTATTGATATTATTTGCTCATATATATATATGCTTATCTATTTTAACATAAAAGGAAAGGGAGATGAAAGTTATCAATAACAAATTCACAGAGATTGAGAATATCTCCGCTACTATCCAACAAATAAAAGTATGTTTAAACTTGCTTGCGTTTTATTTTTAAATTATATTATCAATTTTTAATGATCAATCAATTAATTATAGGAATCTAAAATGGGAATTTTGATGCATAAGATGTCCGAGAAAACTATTAACAATGATACATTCAATATTGTTGGAAGAAGCTTAAATCTTGTAAATAAATGGAAAAAACTAATAGATGAACAGGACCAATAAGATGAAATATTTATTATTTTAAAAAGAATTTATTCTCAATAGTTATCAATAGTTATAATTATTATATAACTAATATTATATGCTGATTTTTTTTTTTTTTTTAATAGTAATTCATTTATAACATTTAAATACATATTATGCATAATATATAATATATAATATCCTTTTGTGAAAAACAAATAAAATTATTTTGCTAAATACATCCATTATTATCTATTTAATCAACATTAATCCAAAAAGATCAAATGATAATGATTAAAGTATATATACATTATTATTATTATTCCCGCAATTATTAATTAACCAATTAATAACCACATGTTATGAAGCACATGTTATTAAACACACGTTATTAACACAATTTTTACAAGGTAAAATATGTTAAATAATAATATTTTATATATACATATATTATTAATTTTTGTTACCCATAAAGATCTGCAAGTTGTGTTTTTTAACAGTTAATAAGTCACTAATAGAGTTATTAAGTACTTAATAACTTGGTCATTTATCAAATAATTTCTATGCCCATCACTATCATCAAGGATTAACGTGCCAAGAATAATTTTAGTTTAGAAACGATTACACATTATGCTTTATGAAAAATTTAGAGAGGTATATTGAAGAATCGAATATAATTAATAATACAAAGTAATTACATTTATTATATACTGTGTATACCAAGAACAATATTTATAGGAATTAATCACATACATATGAATATTTGTTCTATATTATATTAATAAAAAATTAAAATATATTTCATAAACACATACACATTTTAATAATTAAAATATTAGAGATTAAAACATTAAAAGTGAATATTATGCTAATTATTACTACTAACGAAATATTTGATGGTGATGGTGATGATGATGATGATGAATAATCATTAGAACTGAATGATGTTGGTGTCGCTGTCGCTGATGTTATAGCAACATTGTTATTTAAAGTAGTAGTTGGTGTCATAGCAACACTAGCAGAAGTGCTACTAATTGCTGGAGATGGGCTAGTAGAATTATCACCAGGAAAACCAGTAAATTCACGATATGGAGATTCAGATACACACTTGGCCACTTGTTCTACTTGAAATTTAGCACCCAAAACAATATCAAGGGATGGAGGTGCCATTTTACTAGATATAGGATACAAATCATGTTCCAAAGAAATATGACCAGTAGTTGCATTTGTATCTTTTACCCATTCAGTAAATTTTGCAGTAATAGACTCCGGTACAAAACCTGGATCTGTTGACTTCCAATCATCTGTGTCAAGATCCCATATAGCAACTTTATATCCTAGTAAGGTAAGTACAGATCTAACGCGGTCATCTACATCGCCATATGGTGGTCTCATAAAGTTAGGAGTCGCGCCAGTTACTTGTTTGATGATTTGTTCAGTCCATTTTATCTCAGCTATAATTTCTTCATTTGTTTGAGTTGTTAATGATGTGTGTGACCAAGTGTGGACTCCGATTTGATGTCCTATAAATTATAAATTATCATTCGTCAAAATTTATAATTTTTTAATTTTATCTATAGATATTTTCAATTTACCTTCATTATAAGTTCTGTTTAAAATTTCAGGATTTTCTGTAACTCTAGAGCCAACAATAAAAAATGTTGCTTTTACATTTTTTTCTTTAAGATAATCTAAAATTTTTGGTGTATATTCTCTATTTATTAATTTATAAAATAAATATTTATTATTATTGCTTGTCGGGTATATAAATGGATAAAAGAAAACGTAGTTTGGTTTATTTCACTTACGAAGGACCATCATCATAAGTAATACCCCATACTATGTTTCATGAAAATTAATTAATAATGATTTCACAATATGAATACAAATAATTTTGAACTTTTTTGAATTTTTACCAATTTTATCAGGACATTGAATATAATCAGTCTTATTATTCACGCAGTTTGTACAACTCCAATTACAAAATGGATCTTTGGCAGGACAATCCTCGCCTACTTTATTTTTTGCAACAATTGGAGCCTTTGGAACATTAGATAAGTCGACTTTCCATTCTTCCTTCATCGGTGGTGGTACATCAACTGCTGGATAGCCTGTAAATCCTTGCGCCTCTATGAATATTGGTAATATTGCTGATGATAAAATAGCAATCACAACAAATAAATTTTTTGTCATGATTTCGTGATTTTATGATTTTATTATTATAATTAAACAAATTATTTTATTAGATTTTTAAATAGAATAAATAAATTTGCTTTAAAGGAAAAAAAAAAAATCAGAGAATGCTATTATTTTATATAAAAGTTTTTTTTTTGCAAAATATACTATATATGAATTCATGTTTGAATCGTCATATTTGTTTTTTATATTTTTATGGAATCATAAAATGGTTAAGTAGGGTCACTATTAAATTGTACAACAATTATATTTTTAAAAATCGCTCCCTTTGACAGATATAGATATTTTTTTAATTTGCCAAGAATAAGGAACCCCTAAATGGCCAAACGAATTAAAATAATCGTAACAAATAATGGACATTGTTCCAATTTGTATTATTTTTTTTTTACGTATATTATTTTTTTAGAAAGAATTTAAATTGCCGTTAAAATTTACTTGGCACATATTATCTATTTTTTACCCAAGTTTCTATTGGTTAGTTATCACGTAATGTTGGATCCTTTACGTATCTTATATTTTCATAGTAGAGATTTTCAAACCCGTCTTATGATTATGATGTGTACACAGTAAGTTCAGCGGTTCTTTATTTAGCGGATTTAAAGGATAAAGTTTCAAAACTGAAAACTCAATCTATCTACAAAAATTATTATTTAATGCAATGATAATGACGATCATTGCTATTGAATTATTCAAAAAAAAATTTGAATTTCGTCGTGTCACTATTTCTTGCCAAAACTCGTAAATTTTTTTTTTGGAGATTTTTGAAGTCGTTTCCATATTTTATAGGTTGGAATCGACTAAAATATTCGACTAAACTTTTTTTTGAACAACTAATACCAACAGTTAACTATCTTGATCGTCTAAATAGTCAACTATTTAATCGATTATTTTAGTCGATTATTTAGTTATAATCATGCATTTTTCCGAAAAAACCATCCGCAAATCGCCAAATCAATTTTTAAATGATAACACGCACCCAACCCGGGTCTGATTCATTTCGTCGACAATCATTTCGTCGACACCCATTTCGTCGAAAGTTCATTTTGTCAAAATTTTGTTTCGTCGAAAGTTCATTTCGTCGACAGTTCATTTCTACAACAATTCATGTTAATTTGCATGTATTACCAATTATGTTTGGGAGAGCGTAAATTAATGATGATAACAATTGTTTATTATGTTTATGTGGGTCAGAATGAATAGATTTACTAACATATTAGTTTAATTAATGGATAATTTTGGTTTTAAATGTTTATTTATTTTATTTAGTCGAAAACTAATTAAAGATTTAGAGCTATGTTTTAACACAAAATTTAATCCATGTAATCATTGATTGACCAATCAAAATCGTGAATTTGATAACGTAAAAAAAATAAATGAATTATTTATAGTTAATAAAAATATTCGACAAATGGTTCAAATTTAAGAAGTTGGAAGAAAGCATGCGACAAACCTTCAAAATAGTCTAATAAATTAAATTGTACTACTCGAAGATGTATTTAAAGGGTTGGTTTTCGACTTAGTTGAAAATCAACTCTCCTTCTAACTCTTCTCTTGACCAATCTCTCGACATAACCTTATATGGTGCAAGTCACTTAGTCCCACAACTTTTTATTGGTCATTCGTTTTGCAAACTTTATAGATCTTGACTAAAATTTACTTCGATCAAACCCGCCTATATAATTATTTGAATAATTGATAATAATAAAACGTTGGTAAATATATTTTACAAAAAGCTTTGTAGATCTCAACTACTTTAATACTTACTTCGATCAAACCCGCCTATATAATTGTTGAATAATTGATAAACATTCGTTCTGCAAACTTCATAGATCTTGACTTTGACACTTGCTTCGATCAAATCCGCCTATATAATTATTTGAATAATAAAACGTTGATAAATATATTTTACAAATAACTTCATAGATCTCGACTACTTTAATACTTACTTCAATCAAACCCGCCTATATAATTGTTGAATAATTGATAAACATTCGTTTTGCAAACTTCATAGATCTTGACTTTGACACTTGCTTCGATCAAACTCGCCTATATAATTATTTGAATAATAAAACGTTGATAAATATATTTTACAAAAAACTTCGTGACTACTTTAATACTTCAATCAAACCCGTCTATATAATTGTTGAATAAATGATAAACACACTTCATAGATCTTGACTTTGACACTTGCTTCGATCAAACCCGCCTATATAATTATTTGAATAATTGATAATAATAAAACGTTGATAAATATATTTTACAAACAGCTTCATAGATCTCGACTACTTTAATACTTACTTCGATCAAACCCGCCTATATAATTATTGAATAATTGATAATAATAAAACGTTAATTAAATACATTTTACAAACAGCTTCATAGATCTCGACTTTAAGACTTACTTTGATCAAACCCGCCTATAATAATAAACGTTCGTTTTGGAAACTTGATTTGCAAATAGATCTTGACTTTAACACTTACTTCGACCAAGCCCGCCTATATAATTATTTGAATAATTGATAAAGCGTTCATTAAATATATTTTCATAGATCTTGACTTTTGACACTTATTTCGATACAAGCTGTTCAATAATTGGTAAACGTTCATCAGTATATTTTACAAACTTGCGTTGGAAGCTTCGTATGTCGTCATACATCTTGTAATTTAACAGTCTACTTTTTCTGTTGAATTTATTTTTTTTTAGATTACACAATAAAAATTATGGAATAAATTTAATCCAATGAAATGGTTGGTATCCCATATTTTGCACAACTTGAAAAAAAGTTAATATATAAGTCATAGAATTGGTATAAAAGTATCGACCAGGGAAAAGTCATGCAATGATGAAGTACCGGATATGGTCTCCTGTGTCCGGCTCCCTTAGGTGCAATGCCTCACTTTGGACCGGCTGTAAAGTCCCGCGTGCTAGGAAGGTGGAACTGACGCGGGTGGCTCATGTTGGGTGTATTGACCCCTCGTGACATGACCCTTCCTTTTGTTAATTTTTATTATTTATTTTTATTTAGTTAAAAGGAAAAATTAAAAATTCGCTAATTGATTTGATTGGTTACATTTGTAATATACGAAGATCCATCAATCAATAATATTAATAATATTACAATTAGTAGCAACGACGACAACTAATCATCGTTTGTTGAGGATGATAAGATCCAGTTTGTATAGGAGTGATCGAAGTAAGCACTAAGACAAGATTTATAAGCTTTCAAAATATTTTAACGAACGTTTTATCAAATATTCAATAGTTGTATAAGTAAGTTTTAAGGACAAGATCTATGAAGCTTAAAAAATATTCTAACAAACGTTTTATCAATTATCCAATAGTTTGTACAAGTGTTAAGGACAAGATCTATGACGCTTACAAAATATTCTAACGAACGTTTTATCAATTATTAAAATATTCTAACGAACGTTTTATCAATTATTAAAATATTCTAACGAACGTTTTATCAATCATTAAATAGTTTATGTAGGAGTAATCGAAGTAAGTTTTAAGGACAAGATCTATGAACAAAATATTTTAACGAACGTTTTATTAATTATTCAATAGTTTGTGTAGGAATAATCGAAGTAAGTTTTAAGGACAAGATCTATGAATAAAATATTCTAACAAACGTTTTATCAATCATTCAATAGTTTATGTAGGAGTAATCGAAGTAAGTTTTAAGGGCAAGATCTATGAACAAAATATTCTAACAAACGTTTTATTAATTATTCAATAGTTTTTATAGGAGTAATCGAAGTAAGTTTTAAGGGCAAGATCTATGAACAAAATATACTAACAAACGTTTTACCAATTATTCAATAGTTGTATAGAAGTGATCGAAGTAAGTTTTAAGGACAAGATCTATGAACAAAATATTCTAACGAACGTTTTATCAATTATTCAATAGTTTTATGTAGGAGTAATCGAAGTAAGTTTTAAGGAGAAGATCTACGAACAAAATATTCTAACGAACGTTTTATCAATTATTCGATAGTTTGTACAAGTGTTAAGGACAAGATCTATGAACAAAGTATTCTAACGAACGTTTTATTAATTATTCAATAGTTTGTGTAGGAGTAATCGAAGTAAGTTTTAAGGACAAGTTTGCAAAATATTCTAACAAACGTTTTATTAATTATTCAATAGTTTATGTAGGAGTAATCGAAGTAAGTTTTAAGGGCAAGTTTGCAAAATATTCTAACGAACGTTTTATCAATCATTCAATAGTTTATGTAGGAGTAATCGAAGTTTTAAGAACAAGTTTGCAAAATATTCTACTCAAGTTTTATCATCAAATGAAAGGAAAAGACATATTAATGATAACGATAAATCATTTGAACAAATTGTATGTAGACAAATAAAATTAATAACAAAAGAAGAAATGAAATCACTCGATTTAGCTATTAAAATGCAAATCAATGTGGAGGTAAACTAAAACATCACTATTTATTTATGCGTTGAGGATATGCGCTATATAATATATTTCTTATTAATCACTATTATTACTAGTTCCTAAACCAAGTAATAATTGATATTAATGAAATAATAAGAGGTGAATAATAATAAAACTAGTTAATTATAACAATGATGATTAAATATTAAATATTTTGTTTTTTAAAAAAAAGATAGGCAAGATGTTTTAGGATTTCCAAGACAAGAGTTTGATGAAATAACTTATGATGAATTGTTGAATGAAATCGGCGTTGGTGTGTATATAATTTGGCAAGATTTAATAAAACGTTATAATTATATAAATATATATATAATATTCAATTATATTATTATAAATAGGAAATACAACAACAATTGATGTAGTATTATTAGCATTGATAACTTTAAACAGAATTGAATCAAGAGCAAGTGATCCTGATCCAACTAAAAGAAAATATAAAGTATTATGAATTTAGATAAATTTAATTTCTCAAGTATCTAATTAGGAAAAAAGGTTCATGAAGCATCATTATCTCTTTTGGATGTTTAATAATGAAATAAATATATATAGAGAGAAATTTAAAATAAAGGAATTTTTTTAGCATTTATCAAATTACTATTACTATAGCTGAAATCCTTTTTTATAAAACATTCAACAATAAATATAAATATAAAAAGATATTTTTAGCGGAGGTAAAAACCTAACCCCTTCATTTTCTTGAGAAAACATTTTATTTTTCTCCCAAGCTACCAATCTCCATTTCCTTTTCCTGATATTCAAGATGCTATTGACATACTGTGTAACTTGCCGTGCAAGCTATTTGGAAAGCAATCATATAGAATAATAATAAAAATAAACGGCGATGACAATAATGATAATAATAATATAATAATTTTAAAACACTACATCTGGTTTGTGCATATTCTTCTTGTAATAGTAGAAGATGATGATACCTCTTGGCATCGTCAATTGATCACTGTTGGTAGTATTGACATCTAAACCCATGACGCTATTGTTTTGAGTTGACATTGTAGTTCTTTGTGTGTTATCAATATCATCTGTTTCAAAGTATCCAAAACTAAATCATGATGATAAATATGAATTATGGATTTTTTAGTAGATTATAAGCTTCATTTACATATTCAGGTAAAATCTAGACAAACAAACAAATTATATTATTGCGAGTGATTTAATAATTACAATAATAAATAACAAATAATAAATTATCTCTTGATTACAATGAGCATCGCAATAGCTTCAGATAAACGAACAATACTTTCCAGTAATACAATATGGTTTTGATTTACACCTGAAACGTCATCAGTTCCAATTCTTTATATTTTTAATAGTAATTCTCCTGCTTCATGTATAATCTGAGGTATTAATCCTTGTGCATTTTTATATGTCGATGTAGTTGTTTGATGATAAATTATGGATCAATAGCATCATCACCATGTTGATGTGTTCTTATTATTATAATATGATTTACCATCATACCATCCACATTGGGTTTACATTAATCAATTACTAAAAAAAAAAAAACAGATCAAATAAACTTACATTGCTAGAAATATAATGTAATTATTATTATGTTGAATTTTTTTTTGAAAATAATCTCAATGTTAATCTCCTGTTATATTGACCACCAATTGGATTTGCAGCTGCCAATATTGATGAAATGGTTTGCTCCGTAGCCTCATGAATAGTTACTTGATCACATATAGTCAAATATATCAATTGCACAATACCCTAAATTGTTTACACAGATTCAATTCATTACTACTAATAAATAGTTAACAAAACAGCCAAAATTGATGCACCAGCCTCTATAACAACATCACCAGATTCTTCATCTTTTATGAAATTTTGACTTTAAAGTTAACTATACGCAATAGTGTTGGTAGTGTGCTCAAGCTGTCTTTGGAAGCACACATAAGTTGGTCAATATTGGTACGTAGAACAAGTTTCACATAGTACATATTAGTATGATGAGTTTCGTTGAATTTTTGGCATCACGATGAATAATAAAATTTTTCTTTTTTGATTTTTCACCAGAGTATGTCCAATAATATTGTGTGTTACATAATAATAAATAAATAAACGGATTAGTGTTATTCATTTGTTGCCCTATTCATTAAAACATCAAGTCAAATTTTTAAATCTTATAAATTTATTTACAATGAACTATTATCCTTATTTATCATCACTAAAAAGAAAGAAATTTGTATTAAAATTTATAATGAAATGTATAATGATGCTAGAGTTAATTCTGGCAAAGAAAGTAGAAATGACTATTTTTTTTCATTACTCAAGGAAAATAAGGAGCTTTCTGAAAATGAAAAAGAACATTGTAAGGAAGAGTTTATTTATTACTTTGAATTAAAAAATGCAAGAAATAAATTGGGAAAACCAAAAGAATGTAACGAATGTAAATTGACAAGATACTCCAATAGGTTCTGTGAAGGTTGCATTAGTTTGCAATTACAGAATCTTTTCACTACTTGGACATCTGAGAATGACATAATTGATGATTTTATTCAACAATGCCAAAGGAAATTATCTCTGCCAACTTTTATTTTAGAATGGATACCTTTTGAGCAATTTGTAAAAGTAACAAAGTTAACTGAAGGTGGGTTTAGTTCAATTTATACAGCATCATGGACAAGAGGAACTATTATTGATTATGATGAAAATAAAAAGGAATTTAGTTATGTAGGAGAGCAATTTATGCAAAAAGTAGTATTAAAAAATTTAAATGATTCAAGTAATCCGGGAAAAGGCTTTTTTGATGAGGTTGGTAATTATCATTTAAAACAATACTGTATGATATAATAAATACTAATTGATTTATATTTATTTTTAGGCAATGAATTATTGTAAAATTAATCCAAGGGTGACTATTGCTTGCTATGGTATAACTAAATTCCCAGATAGTGGAAATTATGCAATAGTTTTAAATTATGAATCAGAAGGAAATTTAAGGGATTATTTGAAAAAAAAATATTTGAATTTAACATTAAAAAACAGAATTACTATCTTTGAAAGTTTATGTGAAGTATTAAATTGTATACATGAAAAAGATTTAATCCATTGTGATTTACATAGTGGCAATGTGTTAATGCAAAAAGGTCATTGTTATATTACAGATTTAGGGTTACATGGTCCAGTTGATGAAAAACTATCGAATAAAATCTTTGGAATTGTACCATACCTTGCACCTGAGCTATTTAATGGAAATAGGAACACAAAAGAAACAGATGTTTATAGTTTTGAGATGTTAATGTGGGAAATATTTGCAGGTCATCCACCATTTGACAATAGAGCTCACTATCATCATTTAATTTTTGATATATGTGAAGGCTTACAACCACCAATATTACCTGGAATGCCTGGCGATTATGCACAAATGATGCAGAGGTGTTGGGATATGGATCCATTGAAAAGACCAACTAGTGGAGAGCTTTTTAACTTTGCTGATAAGAAATTGAATGAAATTTGTAAAAAAGAAAAAAAAAATTTGAAAAATGGCATAATAAAGATATTATTCAAATTTTTTAAAATTCAAAGGCTTGATGGTAGCAGCAGTACTAGTGCTTTGCAACAAGTACACAAATTACATCCAGGTGCATACCATACAAGTAGAATATTAGATGAAGAAATTGCTAAATCTAAATCTTGATTTTAACTCCCTTCTCTAAAATATTAACAAAGATGAATAAAAATTTCGTTATTAATTAATTAGAAATTATTATCAATGTTTTTAATTAATTAATTTGGTCTCAACCATAAATTCATTTTTTATAATTATTTATCTTTTTATTTATCCTTTTTTGTTTCTTAAAGCTAAATTATAATAATATTTTGAAATAATAAACTTTTTTTTTACAGTTTTATGATTCTTGTGAAAATGGTGATATTGCCGATCGTGGTTTAACTTTTGGGCTACTCTTGTTAGTTAATTGCTAACAGCTCACAATAATTTGGTGCTTTTCAATTAACTAGTTTACGAATTACTTTGGTTTTCGTTTATTGCCTGCCTCTTGTGTCTAGACGAATCTGTAAGCGTACACTTAATGGTACCGGACAACTCTAAATAAATAAAATGGCACTTTTACAAATTAAAATGCTTCTATAAAGTTCCTTTTATTTGCTCGTGATCCTTGTTTACCCTTATCTGCTAATTTACAAACAATTTAAGCAGCTTGTTTACAGCCTTACGTTTGCGATCACAACATCACTACTAATATTTCCAATTACCAACGTTAGTACTAAACCTTTGCTTACTCAGTTACCCACTAAAACAAATTACTGGTCGTTGTTAACATCGCTAGTTAACCAACATTAGTCCTAATTTTGCTTACTCACCAAAGCAAAAAACGTGACTTTTACAAAGGCATTCCAATTGTTGTTTTTATCAAAGCGTTATAAATAAAGAAAATAAAAACATTGTTTTTATTTTTTATTTTTGGAAAGTTCATTAACGATTTTCAAGGGTAAAACAATGATTCTATCAAAATGTTGATTGTGAATTTACTTTCCTCTACTTTTTCAAGCAAGGTCCCGAAGTTATTCAAGCAAAGACCAGAAGTTGTTCCCATTCATAGTTGTTAATGAAATTTTAATAGCGAAATGAAATTGTTTCATGATATAGAAAATGAATAGTTGTGACTCACAATATACATATGTATATTAGGTTTGTGAAATTTTAGATCTCCAAGAATTATTATTATTATGTTAAATATTACGGTCCCGTTTACTTCGTCGAAAATTATTTCGTCGACAATCATTTCGTCGACACCCATTTCGTCGAAAGTTTGTTTCGTTGAAAGTTCATTTCGTCGAAAATTATTTCGTCGATAACCACTTCGTCGACAATCACTTCGTCGACAATAATTTCGTTGAAAGTTCATTTTGTCGAAAGTTCATTTTGTCGAAAGTTTGTTTCGTCGAAAGTTCATTTCGTCGGCTTATGTATCGTACAAATGATAAATGAGGTGATGATAGTGATGGCAATAATATCGACATTGAATATTTTAGTATTGATAATAATTATTGTTTTTTAATAGAGTGTGTGGATCAGACAAATTGGTAATATTCCTTTCATGATGCATAAATTTGAGTCATTCGTATACTTGCAAACTAATTAACACCTGAATTTTCTGAATTCCATCAGGAATGTATAATATCAAATTTCTTTCTTAATTACAATCATACAAATGCAAATTATACTAATAATAAATAAATTAAATGGTAGTAGTAGATACTAAACAGTGCAATGCATATGTTACGCTAAATCATTAAATTGAAAATTAGTTTTTGATATTATTAAAATCGTATGATTAAATGGGTCTGACAATCAAGTAAGGTTTCTAGCCCAAACTGTTTCTCAAAGCTCAAACTATTCTGTCGATTTGGGTTTTTCAACGGTTTTATATATAGGTAGGTATATTAGACCAGAAACCTTACAATCAAGCTTTCAGACGAATTTTGTGCTTTAATTACAAAAGTATACTTTAATAATAATATCGTGTTAAATAAATAAATAAATACTTTTTAATTTTTGTCAATTTTTGGCTAGCATCATAACTATGTATGCTCTATAAAATCAAATTGGTTATTGTTACCGATCACTTTTCAACTCGAAAGAGTATAAAATATATCTGATTTATTAAACAATTAGAAATGTGTTTCTTTTTTCCAAAATTTTTGCGCATCTTTTACTTTGTAATATAAAGAAATTTGGCAAAAACCTACTTTGTACAAAGATGGGTTTTAAAAAATTTTAAAATCAATAATTAATTATTGTTACCAATCACTTTCTAACTCGAAAGAGTATACAATAAATTTTTCTTTTACATTTATTCCTATATACATATGTAAATGATGATTAGAACAATAAACAACAACAATAATAATTATAGTGATGTTATTATAAGTTAAAATAAAAGAGAAATTTATATAAACTATTGAATGATTGATAAAACCTTCGTTAGATATTTTGTTCATAGATCTTGTCCTTAAAGCTTACTTCGATTACTCCACACAAACTATTAATTAATTGATAAACGTTTGTTAGAATATTTTGCAAGCTTCATAGATCTTGTCCTTAAAACTTACTTCGATTACTCCTACATAAACTATTGAATAATTAATAAAACGTTCGTTAGAATATTTTATTCATAGATTTGCCCTTAAAACTTACTTCAATTACTTCTACATAAACTATTGAATAATTAATAAAACGTTCGTTAGAATATTTTGTAAACTTCATAGATATTGTCCTTAAAACTTACTTCGATTACTCCTATACAAACTATTGAATAATTAATAAAACGTTCATTAGGATATTTTGTAAACTTCATAGATCTTGTCCTTAAAACTTACTTCGATTACTCCTACATAAACTATTGAATGATTGATAAAATGTTTGTTAGAATATTTTGAAAGCTTCATAAATCTTGTCCTTAACGCTTACTTCGATCACTCCTACATCAACTATTGAATAATTGATAAAACGTTTGTTAGAATATTTTATTCATAGATCTTGTCCTTAAAACTTACTTCGATTACTCCTACATAAACTATTGAATGATTAATAAAACGTTCGTTAGTATATTTTGTTCATAGACTTGTCCTTAATGTTTACTTCGATTACTCCTATACAAACTATTAAATAATTAATAAAATGTCATTAGAATATTTTGTTATAGATCTTGTACTTAAAACTTACTTCGATTACTCCTACATAAACTATTGAATGATTGATAAAACCTTCGTTAGTATATTTTGTTCATA